ATAATCTATTTAATGGATTATTTCATATTTGTTGTATTTATTCTATGCATAAGCCATTGCTTAGATCAAGGAGTGACAAGCTTTTATATAGTTCAAAATCTTTGTTTTCCATCATACACTTCTCATGCTAATACACAAGCATTACAAAATGGTTCTAATATATGGCCTTCAACCCCATGTTATAAACAGTGGAGTACGGTCACCTCTCTGCTTTCTTTAGCTTGGTCTAAAGCCATAATTACAGCCCGTAAGAATTAGCAGGTAGCTGACTTTGCCCATTTTTTGCACCAGTCATAATGTCATCCCAAGTGAGTAAGTGAGCAAATTTAGAAGTGGGTACAAAAATTGAAGGAAAGGATTATGCCAACATAGAACTTTTGGTAAATGCACTTTTATATATTGATTGTATCTGTTGCTGATTGATAAACCGTAAGATTGCCAAATTCAATAAACTTAGCTGGCTGTCTATCCTACCATTATTTTGTGTTTCTTGGGATTTTTGTCATGGTATCGCCAAAAATTGTATTTTCAAAAGTTGCATAGCTAAGCTTTTCTTTCCTCAAATCTGCTTTTATGAACTAAAATAATGCAGATATGTTGCCATTTTTTTTATTTTTTTTAATATAAAAAAAAACTAAAATAATTATTTTAAATTCATTACAGCCTGTGTAGCTTTCAGATTTTTTTGTATACCAGGCAGTCTGAATGTTGGTAGAACAACAGCTCACCTTACAACATTGATTTTCTCTCCAATGGAAAGTTGTTCAGGGTAAAAATATTTACTTATTTCATAACATGCAGAATAAAACAGCTTCAAGATGAAAAAAAACCCATCAAGATTAACATATGTATTTAGGTTGCCAGTGAAACAATATTTAGGAAAAATTTAGCTGCCTAGAAGTAACAAATATTGTGAATACAAAAATAGATTTAAAAAAATGTGCATAAAGCCAAGAACAAAAAGAAGGATAAAGACATCACAAGCATTCCTGTATAATGCTCCTGAGCCTTTGCTTGAATATTTCGAAATGATCGGCAGTGGGGGCATATTGTTTATGTAAATTAATGCCAAATATAAATGTGTAATAATGAGTTCTATAAAATCAGTAATTTGTTAAGAGGCCAACATAGACATGGGAAGTGGGCTGTATTAAAAGGCATTCCCTATGATTCAGTTTTTATGCTATTTAGTGGATGTGCTCTTTTTAGTGAACACATTTAGCTAAATTTGTTCTTAATTATATTTTATCACATGGGAGTTTGTCATAAGTTTTAAAATCAGGCAATATTCTACTTAAAGTTTTCAAATAGAAAGAAGCATACTAATATACACTCCTCTGTATGCTCTGTACACCTGATATGCCTTTATAGTTTCAGACACTGTAGTTATTTCAGGGCCACTGTAGAGCTGAGTTCTGTTTTGAGATGCTTGGCTGTGATTTGTTCCAAATGACTAAGCAGTATTCTGCAGCACTAAGGCAGACACAAGGGATGAACAGCACTGTTTCCTCTCCTGTGTGTTATTTATATTCTGTGTGGCATCCCAAAGCCCTGATTACCTACTCAATCCTTAAATACATTGCCTTGAATAGGTTTAAAGTAGTGTGAACATGGGAATTTCCAGGCATTTTTCATTAAATGAAGTTTTAACCATGACAAATTAGCCCTGCCTTTGTGGCTAAAAACCGGGACTCAGTGGCAGCTTTGAACATTGGAAATCATTGCATGTATAGGCTTCAGGAGATGTGCATTAAAATCAAAGTGTTCTTCCAGTGATAGAAACTATATATATTTTTTTTCATATTTCAGATATTTAGAAAGCAAAAAAAAACATTATCTTAAGAAAAACAATCTTAATCATGTCAATTCTCCCCACAGCTCTGATCTTTGATCAGCTGGTCGATTACAAAAACAGAAAAATGAAACATTCTGTTTTTCAATTATAAGATGCATTAACACTTCAAGCTCCCATATGTTTTAGTCTACTTACATGCCAACCATATCGTGTGCTCTGACACACTTTTTGAGTACAAAAAAAGTCTACGGCTGCCAAACTAGATATGTGACTGGGTGGGGTTTGGTGGCCTACATCTTAGCCTGTGACTCTTTGACTTGATGGCTTCTGCTCTTGTGCTTCACTGATGACCTACCACTGATGAAATGGGTGTACAGTATGACTGACCTTGCACTGCTGCAGCATTTTGGATCCTTTACTGCTCTTGGGTGATCTGTGTTTAGGCCTTCTACTATTCAGGCTACTCTAACAGTTGACCTCGAGTCAAACATTTTCTCCTATACACCCATTCAGCATAAACACACTTATCTTTTCACAGACCCACACACACTGTGCATTGTAACACAAGTAATCTAAATGGTTGAAAGCTATGCAAACACAGGTTACTATTACTGCAATGTGGTCTGACCTCTTTGATGCTGAATCTGGTCCTAATGTAATTAAATTACGCAATTATCATTCTGTCTTAAAGGTACTAATTTTTTGCAGAGCAAAACATACATGGTTTATGTAGGCAACCGGCTTCTCTATATGATATGCCATATAGAAATGCCAAAACAGCAAACTTGAAAAATAAAAGAACAGAGTCAACTTTCTTCTTGATGAATGATATACTAAAATTTGGTACATCTATCAGAACGATCAATCAGATCAAGGGTAATTTTGTCTGAGGTGAACGATGACTAAACAGTGTGAACCAAATGTTAGACCATGTGGTGAAGTACCTTTGTGAGGAACAAATCCCAAATGAAGCACAACAGTAAATTTTCATGATCTTGGCACTGATGACTGGCTCATTAGTTTCATTCCTTCCACTTGTTTAGCTGCACCCAGTTTTAATCTGCCCTCATCTGATCCACCTGTCCCAGCCTCTATTTATGCTGCCTGTTTTCTAGCCATCAGTGCCAGATTATTTGAACCTAGTGTGACAAGTATCTAGCGTACCCTGTAGTGTTGTTTGACTGCCTGATCCTGACTTGCTTCTGCCTCTGGATTCTTGAATTTTGGTTTGCCCCGTTCGGGTTGGTTTCTGCCTGTTACCTGTGTTCAGACTGCTGTTTGGACTCAGCCTGTTAGCAACCTTGGATCTGTCCCCTTATCCCGGCTTGGATTATACTTTTGGTACCTCTGCGAGTCTTTGATCTTCTGGTTTGGACCCATGCTTTGTTACCTGCTCTGGATTCTGCCTCTGGATTCTTCTGCTCATCAGCGTCTGCTGGCTTCCGCTCTACAGGCTGCTCTGCCCTTTCTCCTGGAACTCTCTGGGTGGCTCCCGCCTCATGTTGTGGAGAAGTCATCTGACTGGTTCCCACTTGTTCTTCTGGCACTCAGACTGAACTGAGAACCTGGTTAGTGATTAGCAGGGTCGCTATTGTTCCCCGTCTGAGCCTAGTGATCACTAACCTGAGTGTCTGTTTCTGCAGAGAATCCAGCAAGCCAGTCCCAGCTGACGAGTCGCATATTCCAGAGTTGTCAATTAAGTGTTTTATCTTTAAACAAACCTTTTCTTTCTGCCTAAATTCAGGATCCATTTGTCTGAGCCCTGACATAAATACTCTATCCAGGGATTCAAAATGACTTGTTTCTTTTTCAAAAGAGCCCAAAAATTGTATCAGATTTCTAACAGTTTATTCTCACACTTAAAATGTAACGAAAGAAGTTGGCATCTCTAAAAATGATGAGTACAAAGAAATATGATTTGCGTTCTTATCGTCTGATATTAAATCTGAGTAAGCAGTCAGAAACAAGATAATTCTTCTCTTAAGAGATAAAGGCCAAGGTATCAAAAAGATAATTGTTGATCTCCACAAGATTATGTCATCCTTTGGTACAAAATAATACATATGGTGCCACATTTCTCTAATGCAATAGTTTTAGTTAGGTATAAACATTATGTCAAACAAATGTCCAGCCATCATAAAGTTTAGGAAGAACATTTTTCCTGTGGCACAGAGATGAAACCAGGTTGGCTTAGAAAGTGGGTTATATGCCTGGAACAAAGTTAGTAAGTCTTTGTGAAGTCTTTGTCTGAAGCTGGTAACAAGGTATTATTATCCAGAGTGAAATTAGTTCCATATCAAATGGCCTGAAAGGCCACTCAGAGGCAAAAACATTTCTTCAAAAACAACGTACAAAGCAAATTGATAGCTTACAAATGCACTCAGTGACAAAGGCCTTAATTTTTGGAAACATTTTTGCCCTGTGGTCTGTTGAAAGGAAAACATCAGTGTTTACTCATAAGGACCACCACAAAATTTGGAAGCAAAGGGTGGAAGCTTGCAAGCCTGAGAGCATCTTAACTGTGAAGTAGAGGATAGCATCATCATGTTTGGCAAAAACAGGCCTTTAAATTGCATAGCAATTCTAGGCATGCATTCTCATCGCTCATACATTTACAAATATAAATAATTATGCTAAATAAATGTGGGATTTGAAAATGTTGCAGATTTGTAATTCTAGCATAAAAGTTTTAACAGTTTATCCAATGTTAATAATTTATAGAGATAAACGGGAGGAATCACTGTTGAGCCAAATTCCACTTGAAATATATATTTTCTATTTTTGAAGGATAATTCTCTGCATATAAGAGAATGTTTCTTTCCATCAGACCACATCATCATCATGCCACCCAATTACAGCTGAAAGATTGGGTTGGAAACATAAGCCTTTGATCTCAGTCAGTGATTAACACAGCCAGGGTTTAGTTGTTTTAATCACAGGCAGATGTTCTGCTAAGCTCCATGGCCCAGCACTCTGGGTGATGGGATCTTTGGCACACCACAGGGATGTCTTTCAGGGGGTTTGCACTAATCAGAGCCTAAAAGTGGACAGTCAGATTTAGTTACAGCTTCTGCTCAGTACATGTGAGCTCTGATATGCTCTACCTCTATTCTCATTATATGTCGTACCTGCTCATCAGTGTTTGTTCAACTGCTTTAAGAAAAAAAGAGTGTAATAAAAATCCTTTTTCAATTTTGTCTTGCAGCAAGCATTGGACTCCAACCTCAGCAGTCTAATCAAGAGGACCAGTGAATTAGAAAGCATGATGGGAAAACTTATTCAAACCTGCCAAAATGTGGAGGTGAGGTTATTTATATATCAGCAGCTGAAAATGTTGAAATTTAATACATATTATCATTCCAGTCTTACTTAATGCAGGCTTTAAAAGGTTTATTCTGTTTTGTGATGATACACACATGAGACAAAGAGCGAAATCCATAACCAAGTCAATTATTGTTTTGCCGCACATGAGAAACAAGAAACATATTTTTCTGTCTCATTCTGCTTGTATGCTATAGATTTTGATCCTCATAAGAAATACTGTAAAGATTTCCATCTTTCTGATACAGAAGCATGCAGTACAACATTTTTTTCAAAACATCCTCTAATGTGAACAACATTTATTTCCACTGTTATTTATCTGAAACTCCTCTTCTGTCCAGGTAAATGCTTCTCGGCAAGAAAACAAGCTGCAGGAAGAGTGTGACCTACTGATTAATATCATACAGCAGCGAAGACAAATTATAGCTACAAAGATAAAAGAGGGAAAGGTACACTTGTTCATTTTTGGTATCAGAATACATGTGCACTGCCTTGTCTGTGTCGAAAACACTTCATGCACACACTCACACTTAAGGAGAAATTAGAGTAGCCAATTAGCCTAACAATCATGTTTTTGGACTGTGAGAGGAAGCTGGGGTACCCGGGGAGAACCCATGCATGCACGGAGAGAACATGCAAACTCCATGCAGAATGACCCCAGAACCTTCTTCCTGCAAGAGAGCAGTGCTACCGACTGTACAGCCAAAAATTTATAATTATGATATTATATACAGTCTTATCAAGACATAAATAAACAATCTACTTCTTATAATGGAAGTAGGAATGCCGAAATGATACTGCTCATTCAGATTTTCTTTAATTCATAAATATTTCACTTATTCTATTTGGAAAAAGCTCACACTGGTTGGCTGCATAATAAGGATCTTCTAAACATCTCTGGAGTGTGTGGAACAGTTCCCCATTCAGCTTCTTGGAACCAACTTGGGCCTCGGCTCCTGGTCATGTCAAGTATTTAAACTAGAAAAAACAAAAGAGATTCCTTTTGTTTTTTGCACATAGGTTCAATCATGTTTAAAACTGTTTAATAAACAGCTTGACTATGTTTCTCTTCCCTTAATTCCTTATGTTTAACTTAGAAAGTAACCCTGGTTTAGTTCTTGTGTTGCTCTTTTTGGGTATATGCTTTGTCCTGCCAAACACCAGATGTTTCTTGCTGATGTCCAGTGACACGTGGCTTGTGTCTGCTAGAGGTTTCCTCCTGTTAAAGAAGGGCTTTCCTTTCCGTTACATGCATGCTGCTGCAAAATGAAAACAGAATATAAGCAACTTTTCTCTGTGGCTACATCGTCATCTAGGTGGTATGAATTCTTGAACTGTTTTAGAATATATGGCTCATGTGTGCTGTTTAAATGGAAGTACATATACACTGTAGTAGTTCAAACTGAATTACTAATACCTATTTTCTCCTGCAATCATTCAAAATGTAATGTGTTTTATATTGTTTACCTTTCTTTTCTTGATAAATTCCCTTAGAGACGTGATGTCTCGTTGTGCCTTGTTCAGTCTCAGAATGAGATTAGCCCTGCGACGCTCTCCTCTCCAGGACTCTTTTCTTTCTCACCTTCTAGGTCATGACAGGTTGTGAATTTGCTCTTGGCTGTGAAGCCAGTTAAGAGGATGTGATGCATCTGACAGCGCTGTTAGGGATGCTTTTCAAACATGCATTCAAATCAAGTATAGCTGAGCCAGCTTCACGTGTTAAACATGTTAAACACTGCAGTATTTGGGTGTTTAGTAAAATCAATTATCCATATGTGTGTTATATTTTCTGCCAAGGCTATAAGGCTGAGAAAGCTTGCTCAACAGATAGCAGGTTGCAAGCAGTGCATCGAGAGATCGTCCTCCCTCATCACTCAGGCTGACCAAACCCTCAAAGAGAGCGACCACGCCCGCTTTCTTCAGACGGCTAAAAGTATCTGTGAGAGGTAAGAGAGTGGTGAGATGAAACAACAACAATATTTATGGCCTTGTAAAAGTATTCTTTCCCATTTGAATTTCTCATATTTTAGGACATTATCATTACAAACGTATTTGTTTTAATGAGCCATTGTGTGATTGTTTTTATATGGAACAAATAAACATACCGGTAAGTATGCCATTTAATTGTATTAAGCCCTCAACAAAATTTTGTAGAAATACCTTTTGTAAAAGCAATTCTTTTGAAGCTTGTCTCTACAAGCTGTGATTAAGTGAAACACACTTCTTTTAAATGTATTTTTTTTTACAATTTTATTACAGCTCTGTCAGACATCTGTGACCAGTAATTTTCAAATCTTGTGGCAGACATTGTGGCAGACGGCTGTTCTAACATTCTTTTATCTAAAATAGGGCTGCAACTAAGGATTATTTTGCAAATCGATTAATCTGTTGATAATTTTTTTGACTGATCGATTAATAATTGAATGGAAAAGGTTCCTTAAAGAAGACTGTTTGCAAAATTAAACCTGGTGAAGCTAAAACTTTTCCACTTGAGGAATTCTGGACAGAGAATATTGAGAGACGAAAAAGATTTTTATCTTAACTGCAAAATTTTAACATATTTTTTTAATAATTTTGGTACAATTGCTGCTCACGGTGAGTTGCTCTGTCAGCTAAAGGCATGTTTTAGAGTTTCTAAGTTCCAGCTAACGATTAATCAATTACTAAATTATTTGATGATTATTTCAATAATTAATTAATAATCATGATTAATTTGATTAATTGTATAAGACCTAATATAAACCTTTCTATTCTAGACTGTATGCTTGGTTCTATAATTTACTGTAGCTGGAAGCTGAAACTCCACTCCAGATTCATGTTTCTTAGATAGATAGATTCAACTGGGGAAATTCATGTGTCCGGAAAGTGCCAAAAATTCATACAAATAAACACACCAAAAATACAGCTACATAAAATCAGTCATTATAGTAATAATTGTAAATACACATGGTGAGCAAGAAGAGTTGTACAGTTTTATTAGCAGCAGAGACTAAGGAGCTCCTTTAGCTCTCTGTTTAACATCCCAGATGGATGTACCTTAAACTGTAACTGCTTCTTTGAGCTCAAGTACCAGAAAAGCAGTTGCAGATTGTCTTCCAGAATTGCCTACTGTTTAGCTTTATCCATCTGTCTTTCAACTCTAACCACCTTACATTTCATTGCCAAGGAAAAGCATCCCCAGATAAGATGCTACGCCACCATTTTTTCCAGTAGTTGTAAGCAGGATTATCCCTTAAACGGTGACATGATATGTATTTATGCGCACAAGTGGACTCTGTTACAAATAATTTCATCACCTTTCTAAATGCATATACCTAGCAAAATATAATGTTCAGAGGGTATTAATACTTTTCCTAATAATTAATTATTTGAGATGCAACAAATGGAAGCATTTTCACCACTTAATGGGTGACATTTTTTCCTTTTTATAACAGGGTATCTATGGCAACAGCATCTTCTCAGATACTTCTACCAGAAATTAACCTTAATGATGCTTTTGATACTTTTGCTCTGGACTTCACAAGAGAAAAGAAAATGCTTGAGAGTTTAGATTACCTCACAGGTGAGTGAAATCAATCTTATTTAAGTTAATATTTAATTCTTGGCTTGATGGCTGTATGTACATTTGGCCATTCTTTCCTTGACATGTTTAAATGTAGCAGAAATAAAAGATGTATTTAAAGCATTTTCAATGCATGGTCTGAAAATAATCCACTCTTTGGATCTAAATAATGGATTATACATGGTAATGAATAGAGGGGTTTGAATTTCATCACTGGTAATGTTAAGTGGCAGAAGAATAAAAAGCTCACTATATTTGGCAGCAGTGGCTTTATTTTTTTTTTTTTGCAGAATGAAAGAGGCCTGATTGTTTGTGCTCAGCCCCTGTTGTGAACTGAAAATGTAACACTGCATGGGGGCTGTGGTTGTAATAGCTGGAGGAACTCCAGAGTAGATTAATTACATTTGTCAGACTGAAAGAAAACAAATGGATGGAGCTATTTATCCTCTACTGGCGCTTTACAATACATCTTGGTTTGGGTGTTTTATGGTTTTGTTTGTGAAATTAAATCAATAGCATTAATCCATTAATCTTTTTTGATAAAAAAAAGAGCTATTTGGTTTTCTTCTGCAGCACCAAACCCACCAGCAATTCGTGAGGAACTTTGTACAGCTTCTTATGACACCATCACCGTTCATTGGACATCGGATGATGAGTTTTCTGTTATATCATATGAACTGCAGTACGCCATCTTCACCAGCCAGTCTAATGTTGTCAGTAAGTGCATAATGTACTTCTGTTAGTTGTGTGAGCTTGTGATGATAAACAATAAAGACAAATATAAACCCTACAGGGCTCTATATGTAATAACTAGATATTGGAGAATCTACAAGCTGACTTGAAACCAGTGCAAAGAATGACAAACATGACAGAAAAGTGATGTATTTGTAGCTTTTGGGATCAGTTCAAGAATAATTTTACCAGTGTTTTTTGATAGGAATGTATATATAATTCATTAAAACCAGCACTGTAGATAAAAAAGAAACCCATTGAGATACATAGGAACAACCATAACCAAAAAGGTGTAAGAATACCACTGACTATAGCAGCTGAAACATAAGTGATGCATGGTCACACAAGAAATATTTGATCACAATGGCAAGAAGAACAGTGCAAAGAGTTGAGGTGAGCCTTTTGAATACAATAACATTGTACATACTGTCTAATATGATGATGATATTAGCATCATGTGGGGTGGGGGACTTGTTTGCTGATGTCTACTGCCATTCTACATCAGCTAGACAGAATAATGAAGAAGATGAAATACCTCAAATTTATCAAAGAAGACAAGTGCAAGATGTCAAATATTATAAAGAACTTTATCATTTCTGATAAGTACAGGGGTTAGATAGGCAACCTTAATTATTCCAGAACCCTTTTATCCATTTCTTTATCCGTAGTACTACAGTGTGTATATATTTGGCTTTGTAAGAATTAAAAGCAACTGTAATTTCAACATTTGCACCATATTTTTGTTTCCAGATCATTGAAGTTTTGTGTTGTGTAGTTCTACAAATTAATTATTAAAAGTCCACGATTTAATTGGATAAGTCAATATAAACTTCTGACTACAACACTTTCTCCTCGCTCTTTTTTAGTTAATTACTCTGGTAAAAGACTTCTGTAAAAAATAAAATAAAAAACAAAAACAAACCACAATGGAAGAATTATGGTGATGGGAAATAGAGGACAGGGAATAAAGTTGTGTTGTATGCAAATGCAAACTATACAATAGTCTTGATATTGTGGCAGTTTGGAACTGAGCATCAGGCTGCTGGAATTGATCGCCCTTACAGTATGTGGTCACAATATGCTCAATCAAACAATGTTCTCTCATCTGCCACAATGCACAAACATGCTCACATGAGTGCTAATTAGATTCTGTTTTAAAAAAAAAAATGCAGACTAGAATGATGCTGTTATTCCTGCTAACTAAGCCTGTGATTAACTGTTTGTTCCTCTTCAATGGCTTTATGCATGTTGCACCTGCAGGTCTGTGTAACTCTGTTGATAGTTGGATGATTGTCCCAAACATCAAGCAAAATCAATACACTGTACATGGACTCCAGTGTGGTACCAACTACATTTTTATAGTAAAGGCCATAAACCAGGCTGGAAGCCGCAGCAGCGCTCCAGGGAAACTCAAAACCAACAGTAGGTCATCATCAGCTGCAAACCTTTACTAGGAGTTTTAATTGAGTCTTTTTTTTAACAAGGTTTCTGTATTTTCTTAAGGTCAGCCATTTAAATTGGACCCAAAGTCTGCTCACCGGAAGCTAAGAGTGTCCCACGACAACCTTACAGTGGAGAGAGATGAGACATCATCTAAAAAGAGCCACAGTCAGGACCGCTTCTCCAGTCACAGCAGCTATGGAGTCACTGGGAATGTCTACATAGACAGCGGCCGCCATTACTGGGAAGCTCTTATTGGAGGCAGCACATGGTAGAAACATTTTCCATGATTTTCATCTCTGTCCGGAATGATTCCTGTTAATTAACCACTGTGAAGTATAGCGCAGTACTAAAGGGATATACTTATCTAATATTTTGTAATGCTCATATTATATTATTCAGTATTTTTTTGTCTGTTTTTTCCCTCTTTCTTTTACTCACTACAGTGATTTTAATCAGTTATTAAACTCAGCATATACCTTCTCAAATTCCCAGGTTTGCCGTAGGAATTGCTTACAAGTCTGCACCAAGACATGAGTGGGTGGGGAAGAACTCTGCCTCCTGGGTACTCTCCCGCTGCAACAACTCATGGGTGGTGCGTCACAACAGCAAGGAGATCCCCATCGAGCCTTCACCACACCTGAGGCGCCTTGGGATACTTCTTGATTACGATTCAGGGTCTCTCTCCTTCTATGATGCTGTTGCTTCACAGCACTTGTACACGTTTGACATTGACTTTGTTCAACCAGTCTGCCCGGTGTTCAATGTTTGGAATAGATGTTTGACAGTTCTCAGTGGACTGCCCATCCCTGATCATTTAGAGAGCATGGACTTTAACCACTAATTAACCAGCTCTTAGACTGATTAAATAGCTCAAGATGCAAAAGTATTCATACACTTTAAACATCCATGTTGCATTTTTGTGATGACCACAAACTACAGTTTATTGAGGTTTCATCTGATAGATACAATGAACTACATCATTGAAAGGGATGGAAAAAAAGACATTGCAGATAAACTTCTAAAAAGGATAGGAGGTAATTGTATTTATGTCCCTTGAATCAGTACTTTTTAGAACCATGCTCATGTGGGAAGTTTTCATGGTTTATGGTTGCAGCACTTTAGCGGCAAATATTTCTATCAACTTTGAGGATATGCTTTTACAAAATTGTCCAAGCTGAGAAAGAGTAGATGGAACCGCTAATAGGTTTTCTTCTAGAATTTGTCCCTGTGTATCTCTATCCTTTCCCTCAATGAACTCTGACGAGCTTCTCTATTCCTGCTGTTCCCACATTTGTATGAGTGAAAAATGCCAATTATGATGTGCAGTTTTTCCTGCACACATTCTGTATTTAAGACAGGAAGGTAAATGTTTGGGTTTCACGGCCTGCACATCATCTTCCATATGTTGCTCTTTTTGCTGATATTTTATATCTTTGATTTATTTATTTCTAATGTCTTTTTATCTCCAACATTTAGATAAAGACAGAATATAATGGGTACAATATCAATAGAATATAAACCCCAGATTCTGTTTAGTCTATTCAGCTTAAAAAAAATATTAGCATCTCAACAAAATGGATTTGTTCAAAAAAGCTGGCTTCGTCTACTGTTTTGGTTTTAAAACATTCAATTTGTAGTTGCATAATGATTCAGATAGGAAATGTTAAAGCTCTAGAAAAAAAAAACATTCTATGCTGCATTTAAACAACAAAAATCTTAGTAGCATTGAGAGCCTGAATGCACGGTACAAATTTAATTTAGCCAGTATCTATTACAGTCCAAGCTGTTGTTGCTTAATCGATAAAGTGTAAAAGAATACTGTAATACTCTGCACACAGTCTAATTGTATTTACAGTTTAAGTAACTTCTGAAAGGAGTTACTTTTAATCTATTTATTTTGGGCAATCAGATAAATAAAGGCCCCAATTTTCATATTGGAGGAAAATTTGAAAATTGTTTATCATTTTCCTTTTCAATTATGCACTCTTTTGTGTTATTCTATCATAAAACATCCAAATAGAAAGGTTTGAATTTCTTTGTAAAATAAAAATAAAATGTGGAAAAGTTAAAGGTATGAATATTTTTGCAAACCACTGTTATTAAACTAGATACAAGATGAAATATGGCAAACGGGACTTAATAAGCACATTTTCAAATCCAATGGAATAATTTAAGGCCATTTTAGGCAACTGTAAATACTTTTTTTTTTTTGCTTTGCACAATTATCTATAGGACTTTGCAGGATGGATTAGAAATTTGTTTTATAATCTTAAATTCAAGGCGATATTTTTAACGGGCTCAGGAGTATTTTTGTAATGTTTCATTTTATTGTTCTGTTTATTCATTAAGGATGTTGATGGGCGTTTTATATGCAAACTACAAAAGAGAAATTTAACTTACATGCTTTTTTAAATAATTTTTTTTGTATTGTAACTGATTTGTATTAAATGCCAGCACTTTGACAAGTTGTAACTCCAAAATTCATTGCCAAGCCATTCCTGCCCGAATAAATGTTTTCCTTTGATGTTTTATTCTAAGTTTTAGTCAGAATAGAGCAGCTTAATTCACATGGTCTGATTGGAAATTGATTTATTTGAATATTTAGTAGTATTTATTATCACACTTTAGAATCTCCTCACTTCAGCAGCTTCAATGCTTTCATTGCAGTTTTTAACATTTCGGTATCCTTTAAAAGGTGAAATAAAAAACTCCATGTAATCATCTGTGTGACCTTATTCTTTTGTTTCATGATGCTCTTTTAAAGCGACAAGCGGGTCCCACAAGTTGATAATTTCATGAAATAGGTGCTTATTGTCTAAAGCCATTGTTACTGCATTTCTCGTCTCTGCTTGATCGTGTTTTCACAACACCTGCACCACATAGTAAAGTGTCAGTTTTTAATGCTTTACCAGGATCCTCTCTGACCCATGCTGAGCCCAAATACCGCCCCTGACAAGATTCACTCTGACATCTCTTTTTGTGCCAGAGTAATGCAGCCTGAATTTTGCAGCGTCTCCTTTCAACAAAGAAGACGAGGGGGAGGGGGAAAAAAAAAATCTGAACTCTGCATGACCTCCTCATGAGACACCCCGCAGACAAAACTGTAATACCCAAGCACACCTCCTCATCCTTGCAATACCATCAGCCCTAGATTTAGAGATGTGCTCATTTTTGTGTGTTGAGATTTCTTCACAGAAAATCTGTTAAACCTCTTCCTATTTTTTAAGTATTTGAGATTTTCAAATAACCACTGCAATGATTCAATAGCAGTTTTAAAATCATTTGGTCAAAAGAGACTAAACAAAATGGTCACTTTAAGTTAGTTTAAAAGAATAAGAACATGCCCTCTAGGCACGGTTGCTGTGTGTTGTATACATTTTTATCATGGTTGGTCACTCTCTCGTGACAGGTTTATCTGGTTTTTATTATGAGGACAAAAAAATATATATAAAGCAAACAAAATTTGTTCATATTTTTGACTGCAATAAAAAAGAAAGAATCGCAGGTGGCCATGGCCACCCTAAGCCAATCACTGGCCACTCCTATCATTTTTTCCCTCTAATAAAGAAGGTGGCAACAGTAATACTCTCAAGTGAAATGTTCTAACTTATTTAACATTTTAGGTTTTCATATGTTAACAGTTTCTTGACAACTAAAACACTATGGTTAATTTGGCTCATCAATATACTAAGATTAAAGATGACATATACAGAATTCATGCTCTTTTCAGAACTAGATTTTGTCTTATATGGGGAAAAGGGAAAAGTATGTCTCTGCAATCTATGAGTCTTCAATGAAATCAGAAATAAATACGTACTTTAATAATAAGTAATCCATTTACAGTAGATATTAGTACATGTAAATATTAATTTTATGCAGAACGATTATTGATAAAAGTAGGTAAGTTATGACAATTAATAAAATGTTTCCTTGAGAACTCAAACCTAAAAGAATTGTATCCACTATACCTTTTATGTAGAAAGTGCGGCTGTTTAAATATACGTGTCTATTTGTTAGCAAAGGCTGTAGGAAAGTGTAGTTTGTCTTTATTTAGAAAACATGGATGGTGTGGTTGTTCCTGATGGAACAGTGTAGATTGACCCTGAGTTTCTGGTGCCTTTCTGCTTTCAGCCACCCCTCAGTGTACGTTGGTTATTGCCTGGCCACTCTTGTTAAAATTTTTTGGCTACGCCTCTGCTGACAGATGACTCCGTAACAGATCCTTAACTTCCTGGATTAACTTTCACCCATACCTATTAAATATGTACCCTATTTCTACAGGAAATTATATTCCAGGGATAATGTTTAATAAAATAAAATCAATAGTTGTTGCCTAAAAAAAAAAAAAAAAAAAAAAGGTAAGAGTGAATGTGAGTTACAAGGAAATTATTCACTTAAAGACATAAGACACAGGGCAATCATGGCCTTACAGGTACATTTTATAAACACTTTAAAGAGCACTTGCCCCATTTCTGGTTCAAGTTTTTGAAGAAGCAATATTACACAGATATTTAGCATCTACTCAAAAACAAGGGCTTAAATTCATTCTCAAACCCAAAGAAGATAAATTAAATGCTAAAAATTGGAGCCCAATCACCTTATTAATTTACAATGCAAAACATTTGCTTCGATTTTGGAGGAGAGGCCTAAGAAGGTATGGTCAACAGTTATTCATGAAGAAAGCTATAATTTATGCCAGGGAGATTATTACAAATAAAAAGATATTGATTCTGAGTATGCGAAATTATAGTTAATTTAAATGCAAAACATATTTATGCTTACAGACTCACCTTAGACGCACCTTAGTATCTTACAATTAGGTAATTTTACAGCTCATCCTTTAAATATGCCTGTTTTAATATATATGCACTGTTTGCACTGTGTCTGTACCCTCTGCCTTGCTCTATAGTTGTTTACTTCCTCTCTTATTTTCCTTTGGATTTTAACCTAAATTAATGCTTTAGGTTTGATTTAAAGGTCATTCCAATTGTGCAATCCCTTTCTTTCATATGAAAACAAACAAAAAACACAGGAACACAGTGACCCTTAAAAATGTTCTGGAGGTCACTGTTAAATTTCATAACATAATCTTTCAATTGTGAAAGTAAATGTGAGGGCTTAGTTTGTTGTCAGTTTATGCATTAACCCAATGGGGTTTTATAATATATTTTCCACGTCCATTGCTTATTAGTTATATTAAGAGATTACTAAGCAGCTGGGAAACTTTTCTTTCCACATTAGTGATGACTTCTGTTAAAATGTCACAACCGGGGATAAAATGTCTGGTTTTGTGACTCACAAAATTGCTTAAGTTAACATGATGCAAGAAACTGTCTTGTTGCAGAATGAGTCTTTCTTTTATTTTAATTTAATTCTTTTTTTTTAAGTATTTTATGTTTCCATTGGTTGTTTATTTATTTCCGTTGCCTTGCAAGTTAAGTTGATCTCCTGTATATAACTGTTATCTTCTTTTATTTTTTGTAAGAAAGCAAAGTGGAGATTCCTAATTAAAACTATAAAATAATGTGTTTTGTTCAATAAAACAACAACAACAACAACAACAAACAAACAAAACAAAAAAAACTTCCAACCAGGTTATTTACCGACTGAACGGAAGCACAAATTCCCGATTCCTATTGGCTCAGCCGCTCGCCAAGCCCCGCCTACAATCCCGGAACAGGAACCTGTTTGTTTCTGCAGCTGCTGACGTTGGTGCTCAGCTCAGTGACGATGGCGTCCACAGATCTGTCCCTGCTGGATCTAACAGATAAGGAAACTCGGGAGAAATTGTCTTTATGGGACCGCCGTATAGATGCCACGGCCCCTCTGACGGAGAGGCAAATGGACTCTGTCCTGGAGATCCGAGCTGCAGCCGAAACGCTCTCTGTTCCCTCGGAGGTGAGAGAAGATCCTGTACAAAGCTAGCTGGCTAACACTGATGCTAACTTCATTCTCATATGTTGGAGAAGTACCCTTTATGCTTAATGAATTAATCTCCTCCTCTATGTCCAAGAAATGTGATATCTGCTATGCAAATGCTGTATTCAGGCGACCTTATCTTAGTTCAGTCTAGCTAGTAGCCTTGTATTTGTTTAGCATCGTGCTATGCTCACAGTTAGCTGAAACCTTGTCATTGAGGACTGTTTTGTTTTGTAGCTGCCCATCGAGGATCTCTGCAGTCTGTCATCTCGGTCCTTGCAGTCCCCGTTCACAGCAACAGTGCCTGCTTCCACAGAGGACGTCCTGCTCCAAGGTTTTCGACTCCTCGAAATGGAAAATGACAGAATAGAAACAGCACAGCAGGTAGGGTTGGCCACTTGAATGAAGCTTGTTAAACACTGTTTGCGTTGTAATAGGGTGTAATACGGCGCTGTTTTTCTTTCCAGTTCTTTTCCTGGTTTGCCAAGTTACAGACACACATGGACTTGGATGAGAGCTCAAAGTACAGGTTCTGAAACATCCCCCATTATTACTGTTTATTTTGTTATGTTCTGTAATAATACACATCTACTGTAAAGAAAAAATATTGTTCTCTATAATACTATATATATAATCTCATACATACCGTCTGGCTTTATTTATTAGCAGGGATGAAAGTAGTTTTAAATCCTTGTTTGTGCTAAATTATAAATCCCCTTTACTTATATGGCGCCTTACTCTACATTCTGTCATTCAGCCACACATTAACACTAGGATGGATGCAGGCTACATTACTGACACATAATTTTTTTTTTTTAAATCACCTCATACTGTAATGGTTTGATAATGCAAATTACACAGAGAACCTCTAGGACTGCCATATTGAAAATAAGAACTTCATCTAAAAAAACTGAAAACTCAAAGGTTAAAATATTCAAAGGAAACAGAGAGAAATGTCTGTGACATTAAAATCTATCTAAACAGATTGAAAAAGAAACTACGAGAGAGAACTAGTTGACAATAAGTAAATACTTATTCTGGATATAGCAGGACTTCTTATGGACAAATTTAAAGCGGAACACCAGTTTTTTACATTGGCCCCTTGATTTTACGTTATTACATCATGTTCTACTCACCCATATTAGTTTTGTGTCATTTGGAGCTGTTCCGAAGATATTTGGTTTTATAATCCAAGTAATGTCTTCCTATGGGCAACAAGTTGAAGGCACAAACTAAATGTCCCCCAGACATCCTCGGTTATATTTTTTATATTTATATTTCTTTTTAAAATAAAGCGGAGTGTGTATGACGTCATCCACGCGCCGGACTGGAGTTGTGACAGGCAGCCCGGTCCACAGGTGGCTACGCTCTACCCCTTCTATTCATTCGGCGAGCTACTCTGATTCCTACAATTCCATTTCAAAAGCGAGATCATCTGTGGTAGTAGCACTAGACATCTTCCAGGCATGTGAGTAAAACTAGCAGCAGTTCAGCGGACAGGATGAATGAATGGTATCCGGCGCGCGCAGAGGACGTCATACACACTCCGTTTTGTTTTTAAAGAATATAAATAGAAAAAATATAACCGCGGATGTCTGGGGGACAGTGATTCGCCTACATGTTATGAATGCTGGCGTACTATAAATGATAAGTTATGAACAGTTTAGTTTGTGCCTTCAACTCGTTGCCCATAGGAAGACGTTACTTGGATATAACCTAACGGTATATCTTCAGAACAGCTCCAAATGACAAAAAACTAATATGGGTGAGTAGAACATGATGTAATAATGTAAAATCAAGGGGCCAATGTAAAAAAAAAAAAAAAAAAAAAAAAAAAAACAATGTTCCCCTTTAAGTTTTGCACACCTTAATCCTGGAACTTAAACAAAAGCATTTTAACAGTTGGCTGTTTGTTTTGTTCAGTTGCATAGATTTCATTAAGTTAATGCAGAGATGTTGCTGAGTCTCCCAGAAACAGTTGAGCACAAAGCTAATGTAGAATAATCCAGCAGGAAGAGGCGCACCCTTGGGACCGTGCGCTAGCGCAGAAGTGGGATCATGAGTGAGCATTACTGGCAGAGCAGAGTTGGTCAGAGTTGAGCACCAGATACGTACTGAGCGAGTGTGCCTGTGTGAGCTGCACACCTGCCTCAGATCAGTGACTGCATGTTGAGGTTGGTGGCACACAAAATGTGGCAATGTTTTTAGTGCCATATTTTGTAACCAGATCATCTTAGTACTTGGTACCTTTTACTAGTACACAGAACCGCACTGTTCAGGTTTACTCTCACTACTCTAGTTGTATATCAGAATGTTGCCGGTTTTGATTTAGACCAGCAATCAGAAGGAACAGTCTAGGAGTGTTCGACTAGTGGTTAGAGAAGTGCACTTGTCCTCTGAGAAGATTGCAAGCACCCGGTTCGATCGCCACAGTCTGTGCTCTGGGTCCCTGAGCAAGACCCCTAACTCAACAGTGCTTCCAGGTCCAACACAATGGCAGCCCTCTGCTGCACAAGGAGATGGGTTGAATGCACAGGTACATTTCTCCAGTGTGCGATTAATAAAGTTCAATTATTATAATTATTAGTCCTCGGTTACAGACCTATTTGTCTGCATCACTGAAAGTCAATAGTTAGAATAAAATACAGTTTGGTCTCCTTCCTATCTCCTCTTTCTTTCATCTTTTGTCCTGTTTTTTTCCTTTTCCTTCTTCTTCTTCTGTTTTTCTGCTCTACTTACATTGCAGTGTCCATATGAACTGTAAAACTCCCTGCATAATTATAATAAAGCAATTTATATACATGAAACAAGTGGAGCGGTATGGCAATTGCGATACCGCTACACTTGTGAAAGTAAAATCTGTTGGGCTCCTTTTGGCATCAAGACAATTATTCTTATTGCCACCTTGCCAGACAGGACACTGTAAAAAAAAAAAAAAAAAAAAAAAAAAAAAAAAAAAAAAAGAATAAAATACAGTTTGGTTACTTAGATTTCTGATCTATTCTTAGATTCATTCTTTTAAGCACCTAAAAGTGAGCATTTTATCCATAATATATACATTTTAAAAGATGTGTATAAAGAAAAAAAAGTATGCTGTTTTGGTATATGTGCGATCAATCATTAGTATATAGTATAGTTGGTATCTAAGAGCTGGAATAGCCAAATATAAACTCCTAAGCAGATAATAACAAAAAAACTGCTTTTTGATAAATTCTTTTTTTTACAGAACTACATTGAGTTTATACTTCTTTAAGTGGAATGTGCTTTCAGACTTCTTAAGTAATACTTCCTCATTGTAAACTGTGTTAAATTTTGATGTTAATGCTTGCTACTATGGTTTTATAATCCAACATATTTATGTCATGGTTTCCGCGGTTCATTAAAAATCATTAAATTATAATTTTTTTTAATGAAGGCCTTAATTGGCATTAAAATTAATTGAATATGATTATATTGGCATTTGAAATGCTTTATTAAAAAAAAAGTTGTACAAACAATTTTGGAAGATATATCAAATATAACTGGTTCCCCATGTTTGCCTGGAGCTGCTGATCATAAAGCCTTATGTTCGGAAAAAAAGCTTGAGGCGGAGAATAACCTAGGGAATGGGCAAATGCTAATTTCAAAAAAGGTGGCTGGAAGACTAGAAATTAACATTAAAAGAGCATTCAAAATCAGTAAATTAGAGTTACTCATTCCTGTATATACACTGTTTGTGTTATTGCATTATATTGTATTTAAGTTTTCCAATGTTTTTTGATTTCATTTAGGAGAACCAGAGATGATCTTAACAGCTACCAAGTACAGTGTGATGCTATTCTGAAAGATGTGAATGCTGCTCTCGAGCATTTGGATTCTCTCCAAAAACAGTACCTGTTTGTGTCCAATAAGACCGGCGCCTTGCATGAGGCCTGTGAACAGCTGCTAAAAGAACAAGTAAGGGCATTCTCGATCTCATGAGTAAAGCCTGTGCTAACTTAAATAGATTGATTTTTTTCCTCATTTCAGTTAAAACCTTTTTGTTTTTTTATAGCAGCGATATGACTAGTGACTGAATAAATCAATTAGGTTTATTTTTCTGCCTATCTCCATCTTTTTGTTATAACTATGTTATGTACTTGTGTTTCTTACAGTCAGAGCTGGTTAACCTGGCAGAGAGCATTCAGCAGAAACTATCATATTTTAATGAGTTGGAAAACATAAACACGGTAGGCTGTTTTCTTTTTTTCATTTTGTACTGTGTCCTTCAGGTCATTATAGTTTACAAAAAGAAACATGATGCTTAGTATTACTTAAAGACAAAACAGTTAACTCCTATATTTTTTATCTCCCTAGCATGACTGTAACTGCTATAAAAGTCTTAATAATGTGGATTTTCCACATTATGAATGAGTTTGTGAATGAGTTCAATCTTAACTTCTGTTTTTCTTCTTTGCAGAAACTGAATTCTCCAACTTTATCTGTAAATAGCGAAGGTTTTATACCCATGTTGTCCAAATTGGATGACTGCATAGAATATGTTTCCTCACATGTAAGTAATATATAATAGCTTATAATTGGGAGGATGGTAAACCATAACTGGTGTTTCGGTATCTTTTGTAAGAAAATGGATATAGTTGTGATAATGATGTTAAAATATTATTAAAAGAACTGTGTGTCCATGTACTGTATTTTAACAGTTATGGTAATGCCTTTCATTCTGATTTACTTTTCTTCTTTTTTGCAGCCCAATTTCAAGGATTATCCAGTTTATTTGGCTAAATTTAAACAATGTCTTTCTAAAGCTATGCACTTCATGAAGGTCTACGTTGTAAACACTATGCAATCTCTTACCAGCCAGTTGACAAAAAGGGTAAGAATAACGATGATCTAAAATGCAATCTATATTAGGAATGTTAGCCCATCATTTCTACTTTAGTACTACATGTTCTAATAGTGGTAGGTATTGTTTCGGAGTGACTATTTTTTCACAAAATCTTAAGGTTTTCCCTTTTAAAAATTTGTACGTTTAATCAAAATGCAATACAAGTTGTGATGCTTTCTTTGTTTTTTTTTTCCCGTATTCATATAATATTCGTTTACTTTCTATTGAATGTTAAAGATCAATACTGACTTACCTGTATATAAAGGATTATCTGTCTTTGTCTCTGTTAAATTTATTTAAATATCAGGCTTTAAATAATATTTTGTGTTTTATACCCTAAAATTTTCCATGGGTCAATAGCCTTTTTTTTTTTTTTTTTTGGAAAATATGCAGGTGGCATTATTTTAATAGTTTCATTGTTTTTTAGCTGAACCCAATTAGTTCTAGTTTCCACGTAAAAAGTATTTGTGGAAACTATTAAGAAGTTAAAATTTTAAATATTAGAACCTTATATACTAAATAGTTAAACCATTGGTTGATTTTCTTTTTAAAATTCATGTAGTTCTCAAGATGAGGTCATATCAGCTTAAAATATGTTATGTCAAACATGCACACACTATTAATCTATCAACATTTGTTGGTTAATAATTAGTTATTCTATGGCTAATGGGATATTTTATAATAATTAAAACCTGATTTTCTTTTTTTATTCTTATATTTCAATATACTTTGGTTGTAGCATAAATATTCTCCTCTTTGCAATGGTTCTAACACTTTTATCAAAAAGTTTTATCTAGAAGTGCATATATTGCTATCTGTTCTTCCTACACTTCACTCAACAATTTTGCTCTATAAAGTTAGCAATATTGTATAGATATTGTATTAAAACTTAAAACCTGTTTCTGTTTGCACATGTACAGCGTGCAGCTGAATTTAAAGGTTCCAGTTCCCTAATGCACTGAACTAAATATTGTCCTCCTACCTTTGGAAGATTTAGCTGAAAATACATAGAAATACCTTGTTTCAAAAGACGGATGCCTCCCCCATAGGTTACAGCAGAGAAACATTTCAACTGTATAATATATATAATAGCTGAAGAGGGTGTTTTATAGATTAATATAAATAACCAAAAGTAAAACACACTAAGGCCGCAGCTTATGAATCTGCAGGTTATAGGGCTTTTATCATGTTTAACTGGATTTTTTGTTTTTTTTCTGCCCCTCAGGATCCTATGGGTCTAACTAACGCAGACAACGCCTTTACACTTTACTATGTTAAATTCAGAGCTGCTGCACCTAAAGTCAGAGTAAGTATATTTTATTTCCCACATTTTTTTTTTCTAGCAATTTATATTGGGTGGATTTTTGTGAATACCTTTTAATTTTCATTTATATTTTCTCCCTTCAGCCACTGATTGAACAGATAGAGCAGCGAGCAGAAAAGATTCCAGAGTGAGATTTCCCAGGTTTTTTTACTTCAACAAAGCAGCAGCAGCGAGTGTTTTTTTTTTTTTTGATAAATGTTTTTTTCCTTTGGGCTCTGAATTTGACTGTTTCCTAATATGTGCAGGTACCATCAGCTGCTAGATGAAATCCATCAATGCTACCTTGACCAGAGAGAACAGTTGCTCTGTCCCTGCATTACGTCGACCATCACTGACTTGACCAAGCAAAACAGCAAAGACCACTGTGCTCTGGTAAGGCATGACGATTTCAAAGCCAGGGTTGCCCTTTAGTTAGTGAAAGATGACATTTTAGTTTACGTGGAAAGGACGGCATGGGGCCTCCGGGACATTCTGCAAGTGTTTGAGGAGGCAGAGAGCAACAGCGCTCAATAAATTAGCATAACCTACACTGGAAAAATAGAAATCTAAATAAGTCATTTTTTTTCTTAAAATAAGTGTTTTTAAAAATAAGTTTATGTTTTTTCTTGTTTGTAGAGTATTCTTATAGGTTTTGCTTGTTTTTTACTTGGAGTTTATCTACATGTGGAAAATGATGTGTCTGCAGGTTCGAAGTGGCTGTGCCTTTATGGTTCATGTGTGTCAGGATGAACATCAGCTGTTTAATGAATTCTTCTTAAAGCCTACATCCAAGTTAGAGTGAGTAGTAACCACACGAGTTAACATAGACAGCGGGCTACAGTTGGACATGTACAGCCATTATTTGTTTATTTTTCTGTTATTGACCCCCATCTTCAAGTTCATCTTGAAGTAAACAATTGAGTAAACAATTGTTTTGAATTTTTTTTTAAATTGTACAAATGACTGAGGATGTTCATCTCTGACAGTGAACTACTAGAGAAGTTATGTTTGTCGCTGTATGATGTTCTACGACCGTTGATAATCCACATCATCCACCTTGAAACGCTGTCTGAGTTGTGCAGCATCCTAAAGAATGAGATGCTGGAGGACCACGTTCAAAACAATGGTAGGTTAGAGTATTTTCTCTTCTGCACAGTTAACACTAGGCTGCACTGCGTGCATGATTTTGTTGTTGCGACTTGCATGTTGTGAAAAATAAGAAATAAACAGAAGGAAAAACCATAAAATCTTACTAGATTGAAAGCCAATGAAAAAAAAATGTAAATCTTAAGGGTAATGAAGGGCAGCCAGATATGTTATATGTTTAGTGCTTTCTAAACAAGTGACAGTAATAAGGATAATAATAATAATACTCTTTATTTAAAAAAAGGGGCAGTTTATCATGACAATTTTTTTTGTTGTTGCTTTTTTGCAGTTTGTTCCAGTCCTATTACAGCCTTGGTGTCATATGCTAAACATAGCAATTCTTATTTTGTTTTACAATCATTTAATTTAAGGGCACCAGATACAAAGCAAACATTACTTCTTGAAATAAATCATTTATACCTAAAGATTTTAAGATTCTTTTAACCATTGTTTAAAAAGGTATGTCCTTTTAGATGCAGTCTAGAGATTCGCATACCCTTTAAAGATACAAATTAGCAAAGGGCTGACTTTTTATTGCAGTTACACTGGCATTTTATTTCTGCCATTAGCAAGCTATATCACTTCCACGAAGGCAAGTGTTGGCAGAAGGCAAGTGGGTTGGCAGATGTATGGAGGGAGGTTTAAGTCCCAGTGCTTTTCATTTAGTCATGAAGTTGGTAGGTAATGAGGCAGCCTTTTAAATGTGAAGAAGGGAGTTTTTTTATTTTTATTTTCTTGCATCTCTTAATTTTGTTTAAGATAGAAAATATTCCATAAGAGAAAATACAATGTTAATGTTTTCAGTTTCTCAATTTTTTTTTTTTTTACAGTCTTAAATGAGATTATTTAATTTCTGAAAAATGAAAACGTATACACCTGACAAGCCATAATGATAACATGTAGCACTCTTGGTTTAGTGAACACATTATTAATCTTAAATTCCTCCCATTGAATCCCTTTAGGAAAAAGAGGACCATTTAGCTAAACCCTCTGAGCTAATTGGACGAAGCGACACCTAGTGCCGGTATTTAAATACTTTAGTTTTGCGTTTCATTTTGTTACCATTCAGAAAAAAACAACATATAAAATCTGCAGGAAGAAAACATTCTTCCCAGCACATCAGCATAAATATTTGAACTCTCTGTAGTTAAACTAACATAATAGACGTTCTGAATATGAACACTCCTGATTCCACAGTAGTTGCATACACTCCTGGTTATATCCTATGTTAACTGCTACTCATGGTTATATAATGTAGGTTGAGGTTACCATTAACTGCTTGTACTACAGCATTCTGTTTAAAAGATTTAAACAATAACAGCCAGTTCCTTAGATGAGATAAAAAACTGAAATGAGAAAGTAACCTCCATTTTACTTAAATGATGTAATGGGCATTGAAAAGCTATTATTTTGTTTCATTAAAACCATAAACATAAATCCTTTTATATCACAAAGGATGGAAAGTAGTGAAGTGGTTAAAAAAATGATGCATAGTTATTAAAATTGTAGTTGGAATTGTAATATTAACATATACTTAGTTTTTATGTAGTTTTGAATTATTCCCTCTCCTCGTGGCTTTGTCCCGACATGTTCATTTGACCTGTCAATAACACGGGGCAGCAGATTTCAATTGAAAGCTCAGATTTGGTGCAGCACATCAAAATGTTGCTTTTGTATTTGAGTTGTACATTGTCCCTTTTTTTTTATCTTTGGTCAAAATAAAAAAAAAGTATTCAGCACCTCCAAGTCGTTACCTTTTAGAACTAACCCTCTGACTAAATACACTGTTGATGTGATTTCTACAAGTCAACACTTTTGACAAAGCTTAACATGACAAATATAACCAAGGGGAGGTTTTATAGCTTTGCCAGATCCAAGAGATTATGTTTTGCATGAAGGCCAAACCATTCAGGTTTGGCTTTAATAGGTGGCTTCTGAAGGTATCAGGGTTACATTTGATGCTGCCAGGGGGATACATTGTCTTTTTTTTTTTTTTTTAGTAATGTGATACCTAATGTTGGTATGTATTATAAAATTCTAATACACAAAATACTTAAAAAACTTGTGGTTGTGATTTGAAAAAATGTCCAGACTTAACTCTCCAGGCATTAAATCTCAGTGCCTTGAACTAGGGGCGTGGTGGCTTTAGAACAGTAACATAAATATAATTTAGTTGGATAATTTAAATTAACCAAATTTTTGCTGAACTATTGTTGCTGCTGGTGTACCCTCTAACTCTGAGCCTTGGAGCATTTTTTTTTTCTTTGCAGATATGTTAAGATGATAACCACAGGGCTCATGTTATTTCAAAAATCTTTTATCTCTAAGAGACATTAGTCTTAAGTAAATGATAACTCTGTTGCATTGAAAGCCATTAAGGCTATACAAATTTAAAAAAAGAAGAAAAAAACTCAATTTTATGACTCTTTAAACCATCTCAATGTCCTTGTTGTAGCTGCCTGTTAGACTGGTGTGCATCTAACCTAAAAAATGTAACTATACTTTGCTGAGGACAAACCGTGTAACAACTCATTTCATATGCTCTGCTTAACACTTTGCTCAAATAAAACACCTCTAGAGAAGGAATCTAAAATGTAAGATATAGATATATCAGGTTTTCTCATACCGCTCTCACAATTACCAGTATTCTGCCTGCAGCTATTTTCTCGGTTTTCAAAGCTCTGTGTGTTGACACGGTTTAATGCTTATACCCACGTCTCTAAAGTGTTCCCTCTTTTTTATGTGTTGCTACAAATTCGGTAAAAGTGTCTGGCTTTTCAACATTTTCTACATGATGATGACTAAAGTACTTGGAGCAATATGATTAAAAAGAAAATTTATTGAACTCTTGGATTCTAAAAAAAGAAACTGCATGCTGCAGTAGTTATACTAGAGGAGATTTTTTTTAGCAACTCACTGTGAAAATGACTCTTGGCCCTCTTTAGCGTTCTGTTTTTAAACAAACTAATGTAACTGAGGGGGTCACACACCTCAGACGGATAAGACTATAACATGTAGAGTTAATGGCTGTGGTGTACCCACAAAGTTTAACACTGGAGAAATTTTCATTTGATATTAGAATACTTACTTTTTTAAAGGAAGGCACAGGAAAACTCTGATACTCTGAAGTCCCTAAGAATAAAAAAAAGTACTTTTAGAAGACACTTTCTTGATTTCCAGTTAAGCAGTTTACTCCCCACTGTCACCACAATCTTGTCCAGGTTGAAAGTTTGCTACCAACTCTGTGTTTAACCATTTCACCCTCAGTCAACCCTGTTTGGCGCTGAAATATACAGAAATATATTCTCAAATTATTATTTTTTAAACCTCATTGTGCAGAATTGTGTATTTATGTGATGTTGAAAGTAATTGTGACATCAGTCTTTTTTTTTTTTTTTATATCCAGACTTTTTTAAATCCTAATTCTATCAGTTTAAATCTATGATATTCATATTGCCTGCACCAACTCCTTTGTCACGTGCTTGAGCTATGAGAGAAGTTGCTCTCTTTGACGTACTTTTGTGTTCTAGCTGTCAGAAAGCATAACAAAGAATGTTGCCTTCAGGACTACAATTTAATTTCAGTCACCCTGAAAACTATAAGCTTGTAGTTGCTATTTCAGTAAAATCTTGTTTCTGGTTTAATACGCTGACAGAATCTTTACTCACTTAATTTAATGACCAACCCTCTGCTGGTGTTGAGGATATTTTTAACTCTACAGTGGTCACCCAGTAATATTGAAAGCAACTTTGAGCTTAAGCCGCAGCTTCATTCATCTTCATTGCTCCCTGCATGCATCAGCCTGTACAGTAACAGCAGGAACTAGGTGGAGTTTAGATGGTTGGAGCACAAGCTTACAGTTAATATTATTGCCCTGGAACTAAATAGGTGTTATAGTGAGGTTTAGAAGCTGGTATGAAAGCATGCATCATTGATTTAAAAAGTCCCCACAGAGGCAGATGGGTGTGCATACTAACAGATATCTGTACTGTGCTCACTCAATGAGAAAGCAGACTTCAAGCTCTAACCTTTGAGAGTAATTGTCATAGCCTGTTTTCTACATAAGAGGTCAAGGTTTGTCTGACATATTTTTTCCGAAGTGACTCCTCTTCAATAAAGAACTGTTTGATTGGGCGTTAAGACGGCTCAGTTCAATTTGGTCAGCTAAAAGTTCTGCAAAAAGTATACAGCAATCATAATCCTGTTCATCTGAAGAGGTCTGGTGCTAACTTACCTTACAGGCTACTAAATCTAAAACGAAAAAAAAAAAAAATATATATATATATTAGTGCTGTCAATCGATTAAATTTTTTTAATCGCGATTAATCGCATCAATGCCTGAGTTAACTCGCGATTAATCGCATTTTAATCGCAAATTTTTTTTCTGATTGAAAATCATTTAAATACTCTCGATGACATACAAAAAATACATACAGGCTAGGTTTGTGCCAATGTTCTTTTTTTTTTAAATGAGAACAGGTCACAGACACTGATTTATGCCATAGAAACATATGGCAAGAAGATGGGGAGGCATGTAGCAAAAAATAACAAATATGTAGCCAAAAAAAAGGCCCTGAAAACAGGCTGATGTAAAAGACAGTCTTTACAGTTAATACAGTCTTTTGAACAAAGACAAGCATTTTACCCTACTGCTATAAAATGTAGTAGAGTTAACATTAGATGTTAATTAACCAAGGTAATAATGAACAATTTTCAATCAATACATCAAAATCAATAGACCGACATCACTAGATGGAGGTAGTCTATGCTCTAGAAAGTTACTTTTCAGCCTCTTAACAAAAATGAGAACACACACACAAGCACCCACCCACCCACACACAGACACACCCACCCACACACACACACGATACCGACCTGTGACAGCAAGAGTGCCGTAGCAGATTCCATTTCACCTCAGTAATCTGTTTTCTCAGCGTATTTCAGGTTGCTACTAGTTATCAGACGCTCAACTTGTTTGTTGGTGGTGGGGCTTAAAGAAAAGGCACTAGCGCTACCCAGTGTATGAGCGTCTTTTTTCCTTGAGGAGCTCCGCTCTAGAAGCCTATGAGAAATGCATAGACTGGGGGAAAATAGCCCCGCCTTCCCGCAGGCTGCAGCGGGATGAACTTGGAAAAATTGTACCATAAAACCACATAGCGTTAATCTCACGTTAAAAAAATTATCGCCGTTAAAATGGCCTCGCGTTAACGCGATAATAACGCGATAATTTTGACAGCACTAATATATATATATATAAATGGGTCAGAATATATAATTGGAAGGTATTTGAATTGGAATTGACCTTAACAGAAATTGACTCATTAACTTTTCTATTAGTGAATACATTTTTAAGCAGCTTATATTTAATTTCCTTAAAATTTGGTATGATGTGAATTAAAACAGTTTTATGTAGTGATATACTTAATCGACTTTGATCAAGATGAGCCGTAATTGTATGGCTTGTTTTCATGTGTTATCTTATTACTGTCATCTTATTGGCCAATTATATCAGCTTCTATAACAGCTACATTTCAGAGAGAATGCAGCATTATTTTGTTGTTTTTAAGATTGTTACTGGATGAAAATACATTTCGCTTCTTATCATTTATTTTTTGCAGCCTTCATGTGAACTAATCCTGTTGATCTTCATGGCTGGAAAATTTGAATTATTGGTTCATTTGTTGTGGTCTTTATATTGGTTGATCTGACTTCCATTTTCTTTCATGTAGCTGCTCAACTGGGTGCCTTTGAAGCCCTGGTGAAGCAGATGCTGGAGGATGTTCAGGAGAGGCTGGTCTACAGGACTCACATCTACATCCAGACTGATATCATTGGTTACAACCCAGCTCCGGGTGATCTGGCTTATCCTGAAAAACTGGAAATGATGGAAGTAGGCAATGTGTTCTGAAATATGACAGCTATTTTTTATGTTTTGCCAATAGAGTATGTCACAGAGCAACGATGATGTGTAAATGCTGCCATGCTTTTCATTTGCTCTTGATTAATTGAAACGATTTCAGCATTTACAGAAGCAGCTTTATATAACTCTGAAATGAGTTGGGCTGCTGAGCGTTTCCAGAAATTGCTCTTCTCTGTTGTGTAGCATTGTCGTCTATGTTCGTAATGCATAAAGACTGCTTTTACAATATACCCAGCAGTGCAAACCTATTCCCTGGTTAATCTTTAGATGTTTTCACCTTTTTGTGTGTGGATTTGATTTCATTTCTTCAGACGCATTTCATTTCATGTCGATTTTCAAAGCCCTGAAAACTTCTGTGGCTTAGGAAGAAGAAGCACTAACAGCAACTTCTCTTTCCAGTTTCTTTCTTCTTTAAAACTCTTTTAATCCTTATCTCAATATGAAAAACTTTATTCTAGCGAATACCTGCACAGTTTATAAAAAAATAAGACATATTTTTGTCTTTGGCAGCTTTAATTTTGTTTGGCCTCTAAAAGCTTTAAAGTTTATATTTAATTTTTATTTACATATCAACTGTCTTGCTCCTCTCTGTAACACCAGAGAATTGCCCAGAGCTTGAAGGAAGAACAGATGAAACAGACGTCACAAGACCCTACATTTTCAGATGTGCAGCTTGAGGATGCAGATAGAAGAAGAAACAGTAATGCGGGTTTGTTTCTTTAGGTTATGATTTTGTTATTACTATGAGCATGGATTGATAATTTGCCTGATGTTGCCCTCTGTTTTCGACACCAAAACAGGCAGCGTGGAACCGTCTCGTCTGCAGACATCTGTGTCTCCTGCGGATCTGCACGGCATGTGGTACCCCACTGTCAGGCGAACCCTGGTTTGTTTGTCCAAGCTCTACAGATGCATTGATGTAAGACTTCAATGTTTAAAGGAAACTAATTTGAAGTGCTGCAAGATGTCAACGGTTTACTTTTAGCTCTTCTCTTTTATCTGCCTGTTTTTTTACACCAAGTCTTTGTCTGTTTTTTTCACAGAGAGCAGTGTTCCAGGGTTTATCTCAAGAAGCCTTATCTGCTTGCATCCAGTCACTTCTTAAAGCTTCTGATATCATCCTTAAAAACAAGGTTGGCACACCGGTTAAGTTTATTATATGGTTATGAGTTTGTATAATGATAAAATCAGCTTCCAAAAATTTTTTTTTTTTTCTGCTAACTTCTAAAATGTAGACATCCACTATTCAGGATTTTGACATACACTAACTCGTGAAAGTAGTTACTATATAGGTGTTTTTAAGGTCAGTGTAAATTATTTAATATTAGTCTAACGGATCGCTGATATGTGCTGTTGCTATTGCCTCTTTTTGTGACAGATTTTTGAAGCTGATAATACCTTTTCTCCCTAAATTTACATGATGTTATTTCTAACAAATGTAACACAAGTCTTGATAAAAACAAAACATCTATTATCAAATCTAACAAAGGGTTAGCATTAGATTGCAAATACAACGTATGTCAGAGTCCTGCATAAGTCTAATTTTTCAAAACTGTATCAGCCCGGACCCGTAGAGTTCAGAACCTAGACCGACCCATTATCCGCAATCATCCCCATTTAAAAGCCGGCCAGGACTGCAGGTAACTATAAATAATAAAGTGCCACCGGACCCGTGATCACAAAGGGGTATGCACAGCCGTTTATAATAACAGAAGCAGAAAAGAACATTGCCTTACTCTCACATCCAGCGAGCACTGCGCTCACAGGTTAAAAGCTGTAAATTGGATGAAGGTTTACCTCATAGCTTAAAATACTGTTATCTGGATATTTTTAAATCAATTTATTTTGTAAGATGGAGAGGTGGTGAATAAAATATAAATAAGTTTCATTCATGCTGGAACTCTATAATAAACATATTTTTAGTTTATACCTGTGCCCGCACCTGTGAAATAATATGGGTTTTTTCTACCCATAGATGTATGTTTTATACGGATACTCGACCCGGCGCAGGACTCTGATCTATGTTTTGCTCTATCCAATATTAAAACTATGGATAGTTGGAAAAGAAAATTCTGGGATTTAAGATGGCAGTGGGGGGATATATATACCCTGCACAGGTTAAAAGTCTTTACAACAGAGATGTATAACCATGGAAACCCTCACACCTAAGCCAGTAGAATAAAAAATTGATCTCACAATGGAGAAATTAACTCTGCATTTAACCCATTCCCCTTGGGGAGCAGTGGGCTGCCACCGCGCAGCTCCCAGAGAGCAGTGTGGGGTTAAGGGTGTTGCTCAGTGACCCAGAGTGCAGGCTGTGGGGATCGAACTGGATACTTACAACCTTCTCAGAGCACAAGTGCACTGCTCTTATCACTAGGCAAACACTCCCAGACTGTTCCTTCTGATTGGTGCATTTCTAAATCAAAACTGGCAACATTCTGATATTCAGTTATTTTTTATGTATTCGTTTATTTTGTTAATTTTAATTACACTTTTGTTTTTTTTAACAATTTAAATTAAGTTTTATGAATTTCTTTTATTTTTTTAATTTTTGTTTCAAATGAACTTATTTAGTATTTTAAGTTAATAAATTAAGCCTTGTGAAGCACCACAGAGTTCAGCTCACCCATCCTTTATTTATGGGCTTTTCTCACCTCCAAATTTGGTGCCAGTATCTTGTGCTCAGTGGCATTTCAACCTTCCACTTCAAATTAAAGCAGCAGCATTAATCTCAGGGGACATGTTCCCACCCAGTGGTGTTGATGTTTTTTTTTTTCTTGCAAAAGCTCCTACAGGGAGGCTTAGTAATGCATGATTTGAGCTTCCATATTTGTCAAAGTAATGTTAATATTCTGACTATAGTTTATGATTAGAAGCATCTGCTTATCACTGCTGATCCTGTCTCTTTTTATGTTCTCTTTAGTATGGACAGTCAGCAGATGCCTTTTTTCTGGCAGGCTGCAGTGAGGATGTAACACTCTGCTTTGTCTTTCTGCAGACCCAAATAGATGGGCAACTTTTCCTGATCAAACACCTGCTGATACTGCGGGAACAGATTGCCCCATTTCACACTGATTTTGCCATCAAGGAAATCTCGCTGGATCTGAAAAAAACCCGAGGTAAGATAATTAAAGGCAGAGGGGAACATTGGTGTTCAACTCCATAAAGCCAGTCATTACATTTTCACGCTCATTAAGCAAGTTGTGCCTATCACATGCACCAGTGGCAACAATTAATGTGGAAATTGTAATCCAGCAACATAATGTACATTAACCGATGCCTCCAAGGGCAAAAAGGGGCCCCTACTATCGCCATCATCTCAGCCACTGGCTTGTTATATTTTCCAGCACTAGATGGCACTGTAACTCTACACCATCTAAGATTTAATCTCTGTTGCTTTGTGTTAAGACGCTGCCTTCAAAATCCTGAACCCCAAGGCTGTTCCTAAATTCTTCCGTCTCAATAGTCACAATGCCATACTTGAATTCCTTTTGGAGGTAGAGTATTTTTTGATGTCTCCCCTCACCTTTCATACTAAACATACTATTCACTTTATGTGCTTTGATAGCACCCTGCCTAAGGGAGCTCCTGTTTGATATTACTAAACCCTTTTTCTCTATGACCCCCCCAGGGAACACCGGAGATAAAAGAGCACTACATTGACTCAAAGAAGGATGTGGACCGACACCTGAAGTTCAGCTGTGAGCAGTTTATCCAGCAGCAGACTAAGATATATGTGGGGAACCTTGAGGAGTTTCTCACCAAGGTAACTGTTAAAGTGAAGGCACACTTAGGCTGAAGCAGCTCATCTCTACCTTTGTGTTTTTCAGCTTTTAAATTTTTCTTTTAATTACTTGTTTATTTACTTGCTATAAATTATCTCACTACTTAAGAGAAACTGATGAAGAATGTCAGTCCTATTCATCAAGAATTTTCATTTCAGTTCAAGGTGAAATAATGCCATTTTAAATATTTTTTGTTTAAATAAATTATCTTTTTTTTTGTCTTTATATTACAAGACAAAAACAGATTAGATTATCTGGAAGGTGAGCCTCTTGTCAACCTGTAATATTGGTTTTTGCTGTGATCAGGTTTCAGCTCTGAAAACGATGACCGTCCAAGGTGGTCCCACATATAGCCTGTCTCAGCAACCTTGGGCTCAGCCAGGTAAGATTTTACTCCGGAAAAAAAATCATGAAGCTATTCATCAAATCCCCTGTACCAAATACTAGAGGTTATGACAATGTTTTGCTTTGCCTTTTTTCAGCCTATGCATTTTGTTCCTCTCTCTTTTCAGCAAAGATCAACGATATAGTGATGGCCACATACCGGGTGATGAAGAGCAAGCTGCCGAGCACTTTACAGAGCATGTCCTTGTATCTGGCCAATAGAGACACAGAGTTCATTCTTTTTAAGCCTGTCAGGGTGGGTTTCATTAACCGGATCTCTTCATTTCTGTCACAAAATTATAACAGCTAGAAAATGTCAGTTAGAAAAGGTTTGCATCTGTTAAGGTGCTACCTATTTCATGGTTTAGTATAGACCCCCTCTTAACAATATCTTTGGAAATATTCTCAAATAAGTTGCAGATAAGTCGCAGGTTTATCTGTAACTTATGCATGTTACATTTTGGCTAGATATTAAACTAGGTCTTATTGAAATTGAACCAGCTTATTTAAATTGGCCAGACAGCCTTGATGTTTAAGCAAAGTTCATGGAATCTGGAGCTGTAAAAGAAGATTACAGCTGAGTTCAAAACATATCAGTGGCTTCAGACATCTGCCAAAAAAATGTGCAATATTCTTTACATCAAACATTGCACTCAGGCCGCATCTGGTCTGCAGCCGAGGCCAAAACATATAAAGCCCAGTCGTGATGCGTCTGTTAAAACTGTCGAAGGCTGGAGTCCAGAGACCTCTTCTGTCTCTGTGGACTTCAGCACACTTTGTCTAAAGTTTTTAAAAGTGGCTACTGATGCATGTTTATGATTAGCACTCATTGCTATACTCCTAGTATGCTCCCCCATCCATCCTGCTTAATCCAGTCCAAAATTACATTTAGGATGTATTTGGGGTTATTGTGCTATTTGAACATGCCATTGAGTCCTGACCTAAAATTTCATACTCATGGAAGAAAAGAAAAAAAAAGAGGGGAATGGGTAACCACTAAGGTTTAAAAACGCCTTATTTTGATACACAAGCATCATTGGTTACAATGAAACATGTTCCACATCAACATGAGCTGAGGTAATTTGGCAAGTCAGACTGTTGATGTATAGCACTACGGTTTAGTTCTACACATCATTAATCTGGAAAAGCTCCCATTGAATCTTCAGGGAAAGGAGCAGCGTTCAGCAAAACCTTTTGAGCTGATTGGGGGAAGTGAGACCTAGTTCCCGCCTTCTGAAGTTTGGTTTTAGCCAATCATTGTAACAAATGAAATGGCAGCAAATGCTAGTAGTAACCAAAAAACAGACCTTTATGTTCCTTTTTAATAGAAAAAAAAAATCCTGGATTCTGACAAAACAGATGTGATAGTAGCAGCTACACTACTGCACAGCCCTTTTTATTGTGGTTTGGCTGTCAGTTCTGCAACTCTTGCTTTATGTTCTGCCTTAAACCATAATACTGCAACTTGATTGGGTCTTACCCAAACTATTTCAACTGGATTGGTAAAAGATGGTTTCTTGGGTGTTAGTGAGCTCACAAATACCATGGGAAATCAGCTTGCAGGCAAGATTAGAACTGAGGTTGAAGCTAAGCAGATGAGAAACCAATACAGCAATATTAATTAAAATGATCTTGGAGGAATCATTGTAGTACTTCCTAACCTAGGAACACTACAGAACGTTTTTGACACAACTTTTCAGAATCTTCTGTTGATCACATGCACAGTTCAAATACTTCAAAAAGCATTATGGTTGGACAAGAGATATAACTGTCTGGATAAGCTGATAGGAGGTATGTTTAACAGTTTTTAACCCCAAGCTACGTAAGGCTAGAACACAACGAATCTGATTTTGCAGCCGCTCCGACAGAAAATCGTGTCGGACGAGGTCTTGACGTTAAGCGCTCATTGAAAGTCATTGGGGAGGATCACACCTGACACAATTTATCACAAGGGGGCTTGTGTAGGTCTGACTGAGATGGACCCCAGGTAAATATTAGCCAGACTATGCAGCAGTTCAGCTGCACTTTCATGGGTCTGACAGGAAGAGAGGCGGTTAAAAAGTAAAGCAAATCCATTTTGGGGGAATATATACAAATAAAATCTGTTAATTGCAAAAGGAAAGAGTCAGGTTTGGAGTCACATATAGAGTATATAGTAAGCTAGACATACTCGTGCAAAAGCCATAAATGAAACAATAAAAAACAATAATTTACCAATGACAGGAGTTCAAGTGGACAGAAAACAAATTAAGTAGTGATCCTCTTTGAGCCTCACAAAAACAATGAGGCATAGAAAGCGCAGTTTATCAATCTCCTCGGAAAAAGAAATAACTTGAGTAGGAGAAAAAATGGATATAGTAAAATAGTGATCCTCTTTGAGCATTACAAAAAAACAAGGGAAATGGGGCAGGTAATTGTGACGTATCTCTTTATGAAAGAAAGAAAAGTTTTGATAAACTTCCCAAATCTCTCTCTGAGACTCACCTCTCACTGCCTCAGTCAGCATTTAAACTGCCCAACAGTGTTTATTTCTATGGTTTTCTTTTCTTTATACGTAGACCTCATTATGTTTTTAATATAGTCATATGAACATTCTCGATCTGTTCTTGTGAGATGCTGTACAAACTCGTTAAGTGGGGCTTTGCTTTATAGAGTGCACCCTTGTTTTTTTTATTTTATTAATAACTTCATAATCTGTCCATTTCAAATGTGGGAAACTTAATTTGTGTATAGCACAGAGATAGCATTGAAAAGAATGTGCAGATCTGCTCAACCTGCCTAGGCAGAGCCTCTATACGCAGTCAGTGTGACATGAAAGAAATCAGATCGGAGATTAACAAGTCGTACGCAACAGGTGTGTTCTGGCCATTAAACCGTTATGGTCTATGCTTGGAAATGAGGCTCATATTAAGAAATCACCCAATTGTAACAAAACTCCAGCAGGTTTGATAAGAAAAATGATCAAATATACAGTCAGAACAATACAAATAAACATGTTACTAGCCACAAAGAAAAATTCAGTTTCTTAAGGAAAAATCATTCAAGCATTAATGGAGATGTGTGTTTACTATTAAGCCTGTTTGTAAATTAGACCCATGGAATTTATCTAGGTTTCAGAAGAATAAGTTTAAACTTGGAAACCTATTTTCTAATTAAAAAAGAAAACATTCAAGGTTTACACCATAAAAGCATTTGAAAAAATAACTGTTTTAAATGGGCCTATTTGTGCTTCAAAACTAGGATGACATTCATTCTCATGACTAAATGGAGAATTCTCAATGGCACTTTATAAATATAATTTTGCTACTTTGCACATTTAGCAGTCATGTCAACAAACCTTATAATGTAATGTCAGGCCTTTTTAATGCTTTTGTTTATCCAGTCATCTGAGGAAATTAGCTGCCAAGATAAGACGACCATTGGTGAAATAATGGGGAAGCGTAGTAAGCAACTCTTTGTTTGCCTTCTACTCTCAGGATGACTGTTTTGTTTTAATGGGGCATAGAGATGGAGCCTCTCGCCAAAAATTTTGTCAGTGTGATTGAACTCTAATAGAGAAATATTTGTGCTGCATGTGTACTATTCATCAAGGTGCCAGGTGAGGCTGAATGAGAAAGAAACAAAATTTGCTGGTTGACATGGAAACAGGAATAGTGAGGGGACAAAGGCCAGATGGAAATGTGGTTTAATTTCCCTCCAGCACTCAGTAACACTGGGTAATAGGATGTTGTTGTTTTTTTTCTTTTCTTTTTCCACAGAACAACATCCAGCAGGTATTCCAAAGACTGCACGCTTTGCTTCAGGAGGAATACAGTGGAGAAGACCTTCAAATCATCGCATGTCCATCTATGGAGCAGGTACAGCTCTGTGGAGTTAGCTCAGCCTTTAGGGGCTTTAGATATTTTTAATAATGATGTTGGACCTTCTAAAAGTGCTTCAAGCTAACTTCAGGGAATGTACATTTAAAAATGTGCACATGTTCAAACATAGCGAGCGCTCATTGCTTTTCACTTTATTTCAGATTAACCTGCTGCTGTCTGTGAATAAGTAATGTTTGGTGAATTGATGCACCTTCATGATAGCAACGTGAAGCCAGAGCTTCAGCCATGACCTGGAGACTGAGTGGGTGGAATGACCATGGACAAAAAGCTGCACGCGTGCTGCCTGCTGGGACGGGAGTGCTGGATGGATGCTTGGAAACAAAACAGAAAAAAAAACTCCAAACAGTCCAAAGATTTTTCTGGTTGAGGTTTTGATTCTGTTGAATTTTAATAAAAGGAAAAAGTTTTCAGGTTCAACTTGTTGGACAAGTTAAAGGTCTTAGGGTTACTCTTGCTCTAATAGTGGTGGGTTTTTGATAACTGTTGCATCTCTTTAAGAAGATTTAGAGTTAAATTAAAGACAGGATGGGGATTTAAGGATAAGGACATGACAGACATAACTAACCAGTTAGCAGGAAACTACTGTAACGGCCAGTAAGAGGCCCTAACAGTCATATGCCCAGTTCCTTTCTTTGATTTGGAAGGACAATGCTGCAAAAAAATACTTCACTTCTTTTTTTTCACCATGTGGAAGTCTGCCCTGCAGAAGTTTTAACACCCTTTAAACTGTTTCACATTTGGTCACGTAGTAACCACAAACTTTAACACATTGTGTGGAGATTTATATGATAGGCTCGCATTAGGACTGAAAGTGAAGAAAATAATACATGGTTTACACAATTCATTGAAACATTAATCCATAAAGTTCGGCCTGTATTTGTATTCTTTAATAAAGATGAATAGGTTTAAACAAGGGTTAGGTTTTAAAATAACGTAGTTTTGTTTCCATCTCTCAGAGCACTGGTCTTTCCATCTAGGTAAATGGTATGCTTCAGCTAGACTCACAGTATTGTAAGGAAATCTTTAATCAGAAAAGCAGCCAGGAGGCTTTTGGTATCTATGCAGTAACTGCAAATATTCCCCTACTCAGGTGGATAACTATTATTATTTTTTTTCTCCTGAGATATCTTTGATATATGAGTTACTAGAAAACAGTCTATTAGAAATTCTTGCATTTTGTCACAATCCTTGCAGGGGACACAGCAAACAAAGCAATCTGTTAAGATGCTGTTGTTGAAGACTGATGGAAATGAGTGAAGGGCATTCCTGGAAAAAAAAAGAAGCTTTTAGAGGTCGTCAAAAACTTGAAAGGGAGACGAGCCCAAAAAACTAACCAGAACTATGCTGAAAGGATTAGAAATAAGAACATCTGGCTTTAAAGAAAAAGACTGATGCATTTACACTACTTTGTCAAGAATAGGTAAAAATGCCAGTAAAAATCTGGTAAAGAGAGATACCACAAGGCAAAAGTACTGCGAGTTGAACAGATTTAACTAAATATTTATGACGTATCACATAAAATACAAACATAATACTATTCTCGCTTATGTTTGCAACATAAAATGTGAAATAGTTTGAAAGAGTTTAAATCTTTTTGCAAGGCGCTGCTGGTCTGTCTTGTAGCCAGATGGGTGACTCAGGTCTGACAGGTTTTTTTCTTCTAGTCAAAGCAATGACGTTTGTTTCCTTAAACCCTCTCACCCAAAAACTCCATGTGAATATTTTTATTTTTGTGGTTTTGTTGCATATTTGTAAAAAGGAACCCTGTGTTTTATACTTTTCATCTTTTATAAATTAATTCAGCATTTAATCTAGCACAATATAAGACTTTGCTCTGAACATGAAGAATGGATGTGTGTCATCAGTGTAACTCTTTGCTTTGGTTTATCTCATGTAAAATGATTTGTAGAGGTCTTCTATTTATGGACATTCTTAATAAAAAGAAGAAGTTATTAATCTAACTTGGCTTTATTTCTAAAAAGCATTTAATCGTTACATTCAAATTCAAGGGACACTGCAGATTGAGTCTCTTTACACAAATGAGAAAATCCTATTGAAGGACATTGTCTGCTTTGGGGGGTCATCTTGGCAGAGTGTTGCCGTTTCACTGGCAGCTGCTGCCGTTCCATCTGCAGGAGGAGGCTTTACTAAAGCTTGACCTTCGGTGGACTGAGGCTCCTTTGATAGGTGACGAGGGACTGGATGTTCTGGAGCAGCGCCTTGATCTCCGCGCTCTTCTGCTTCAGATAAGTCTGAAGCTAGTCACCCCCCTGCACTGTTAGGATTCTGCCTTGATTTTCCCATAAAAAGCACAAAAAAATGCAGAAGGGGAGATTTAGGTCTGAAATTGGGGTCACCCTGAGGGACGAAATGACTTACTTTCAGTTTATCCTCCTTGTTGAGCTGTCCGCTGTTTTTATGGGAGGCGAAAAGGATTCGGATCTCCTCCTGGGATTTGATGTGGACATTAAGGTAAGGGCTTAGGGTGAGTGGCCAGCAGGGTGGAGCATGAATATGCTTGCTCTCCTGCCAGCTCCACTGTTTCTTCACATCTCCTGTCTCACTGAAGGATATGCCTCCCCTTGAAGAGAGATTAACCCTTACATAGGAAGAGTGTCAATTAAAAGGTTTTACAGACACATGAGAGTAGATTATTTTTACAGGTGAAATAAAAACTGCTGCCATTCTTATGATAAAGGGTCTGTCCCCTGCTGATGATAACTGCCTAAATGTGTGGCTCATCCCTTTTGTCCTTCAGAACCACAGAAGAGCAGTTGGCTGACTGCTGCTACCACAAGAACAGCAAGTCTTCCCAGTGGATAACTTTTCAGCACCATTAAGGAGATTAAAATCTGCTTGTATCAGAACAGTAGTTTATTATCAGGCTTTATGGGAAAGGATACCACACCTGTCCGGTTCCATCTGGAAAGGTCACACTGAATGCTCTGCCATTGTTTTAGTGTTTATTCAAAAACAGAACTTTCAGTCTTAAATCCTCCATATTTTTTTTTACAGATTTGAATGTTTTTATAGTGCTTTATTAGGTCCTATGTTGAATACATAAATTTTCCCACTGATTTCACAATTGTTTGAACCCCTAACAGTCAATTGAGATAAACATTAATACCTTTCCTAAATTTGTATATCACTTTTAGGGGGAATTTCATAAAATTCATCAATCTAAAGACCAAGACTAAAGAACCACACCAATGCTACACAATAGTTAGTTGAAAGCTAAATAACATGTATTATAGGAAACAACAATTTAGGTCAAGTCTACTAAAAAGTTTGGAGGACAAAAGTGCACAACCAAAGCCTTGAGAATATTGTAAAATAAAAATAAAAATCCCTAAGTTTGGAGAGTATTTAGAAGTTTTTAAGTTATGACGAATGTAGGTTATTCCAAAGTGTTCACTACCTTTGGTAGGTGTGCTGGATAATCAGTGACACTGTGAGTCTGCTTTAAGCCCCTTCAGTACAAGTCAATTGAATTTACCTCAAATAAAATCTAGAAGACTTTTCCAGAAAACTCATAAATATTTTAGCAGGATAGTGATTCCAAAGAGATTATGCGTAGGCTATACCAAAAGTTATCTAAAAGCTTTGACAGCACCTTTGCTTTCTACTCCTTCAGACTGAAAACAAATATGCTGTTTCTGTTTATATCTATTTCAGGGAGGAAAGCCCTCTCAGTGTCCAACGCATCACCCAAAGGCAGATTAGTTGAGGTATCATAAGCTTGTTTGTGTCCTGTAATGGTGTTAAAGATGCCTCAACATGGATGAATTAAAGGTGAGGCTGGAAAAAAAACTTTATCTGTGTCTAATTTATGTGTGCAACCTGCTTAAGGGGTGCCATGAAGTGAATCCTCTTCTGACTTTAGATCATTCTGCCTGAGGTGTGAACAGGAAAATTCCAATTCGGATACTGAGTAGTGTTGAGGTTTAATTGAAAAACACATCTATTCATAGAAGTCAGTAACACCCTAGCAATACTGACCTTTGATCTTCCTCTCTGGCAGAATCTCTATCAGTCTCACTTTCATCTGTAGTGACCGTTCAACCCTCATTAAAAAAAAAAAAAACCCTGAAATGCTTTTCTTTACATTTTTGCTGTAGGTAGACTGAAGAGGGGAAAAAAGATGCAGATGATCTTAAATCTGTTTTCATTCACACTTTCAGTCAAAACAACACAATAATGAGATTTTGCTTTTGGTTTGGGGCTCCTCCTGTCCTGTGGGGCAAAAGGTAATCCAATTTAGGCTAAATTCAAGACAGGTTTATGCATACAACAATAGCGCACATATCAAGGAAATAGGAAGATATTTCCTGCACACCATATTTGATTCAACAGTTCATTAAGTAAGCACATTTTTCCCAGATCATATCTTGGAATGATATACCAAGCATGTTTTACTAGTGTTTTCTAGCTAAAAGCTGGAAAACCAGGGGGGTTAAGAAATTGTGTGGCTTTCAATGCCATTCAATAGATTTCTTGCCTTTTAACATACATAACATTTATTATGTGTTATATATGTTATAAAATAAATTAGATATTTCACCTATATTGGTAACTCTGGGCTGCTCTGAGATCTCAAATTTTCCTAGCTTACCTCTGGGGTTGATCTTGTATTTTCAGGAATATCTAAATCCTATTTCATAAAAAGTAAGTCCATTATCAACTCCATGTTAACATTTGTTGTGATTACCAGGTTAACTAAAAACATGTGCTTGCCATGTTTAACTTTGAACTTTTAATAGATCACCTATGTATATTGATTTTATATCTTTTGTAGTGTATATAGCATAGCATAGTTTTTGTTGCTGTTAAAGCTTTAAGCTCAGCCAAAAAGCATAAGGTAGCCTTATGCTTATGCTTATTTTACCACAAGTCATAAATCAAGTTAAAACTTCTCCTGATCCATTATAATAAAACTGATTTCAAGCAAAAAAAAAAAAAAAAAAAAAAAAGATAAATTGCTTTGATTTTTTTAAATGAATATTAGATATTTAATATATTAATACAAAAATAAAGTTTGCCAGCCCTGCCCTAGGAGTGCTCTACCTTTCAACCATAGAGTCCCAGACATAGACACTGGTTCCTCTAACCCATGAAGAAAATAATAAATAACTAATTGTTGATTTGAAACTTTTAAAGAATCTTGCATGTTTACTGACTAGAAATGTAGTCACCTGGAGTTCTGTCTTCATAAATGATCATTGCAAAAAAGCTCATACTTGAAGTGGGAGTAAAGGATAATATTTTAAAGTTAAAAAGAATATTGTATTTTGAAAAATAAGTAATGTGTAAAATTATAATTTCATCCCATCTAATGAATTGTTACCAAGGTTCATTTACATTTTTCTTTACTAGTTCCATGCATTATCTGTTCTCAGTATTTTTAACATTCTAAAATTTGTGATAACCAAATATATTGGTTTTGATGGCAGATAACTCACTGATAAAATACTTGCTGCAAAAATATAATCATGTCTTATTACCTATTATTATTAGTCAGGTTTAAAAGTCTTAATAAAATAAAAGATAAAATAAATAATTAAGAAAAAAATATTTGTACTATAAACATAATTCCTAAGACCTTCTATTGTACAAAAATGTACTAAGTTTAATAAATTTCACTTGAAGAAAAAAAAGTGTCTGTGAAACCTTTTTTTGTTTTGTTTTTTAATAAGAGCCATGTCAGGCGGTAACATGAATTGGTTTGTTTAAATTCATATATATAAAACAGTGTATTGAGAAATTTCATTTCAGTTGTATGTCTAAATAGATTGCTTTATTCTGTTTAGCAATTATTGTTCATCTTGGAATTTCTGAACTCTGCATTTCCAAATGTGTCACCTCATGAATAAGATAAAGCATAAACGCTCCAATAGCTGTCTAAGTTCTGGTCTCTGAGGCAGTTACCGGGCTCAGTTTGACCTAAATACTTGAACTTGGCACACTACTCAGTAGTGATAATTTATTTTTTCTTACACACTATTTCAGCTTAAAGTAGAGCTGAGGGGTGCAGGAATGTTTTCAATGTAAACCATTTGGTCCTAAAATAGAATGTGAAAAAAAATATTAAATTTGAAGCCAGCGTTTGTCCTTTCTAACTTTAAAAGTGTAGATCTGATTTTACCTTTTTAAACGGGATACTGGAGGAAAATGCAGATATTTAAAGTCTCTTTGGACCATCTTCTACTCACTTTTTGAAACATTTCATGTTGAAGCAAGTAATTGACTAACTGACATTCCGATCCCCTGGAGCTGT